CTTGATGGCGAGAACCCGTCGCGACGTCTCCGTAGAAGAGTCGTTTGGGTAGTCGCTCGTCGTCCATGCGCACCAGGTGGCCGCTCCAGCGCAGCTGCATTTGCCTCAGTATGGCGTAGATGCTGAAGATTCCCGTCCGTTCCAGCACATCAGTGTCGGGGATTCGATCCTGCCACTTCAGCCTCAGGATGCGACGAGGACCACTGAAGTGGAAGTGGTTCAGACAGCGTGCCTGCTTTGCGTACACCGTCCAAGTCTCCGCTCCATACAGTAGTGTCGGCAGGATGACGGTCTTGTACATCTTCAGCTTCGTGCTCAGCTGAAGACCGTGGCGATTCCAAACTGTGCTTTGGAGGCGACCGAAGGCTTGACTGGCTTTCGAGATCCTGTTGGCGACTTCGTCGTCGATCTTGGTGTTGCGGGAGAGAGTACTGCCCAGGTACGGGAAGTTCTCCACCACTTGCAGGTGGGTCCCATTCACGCTGATTTGCGGCGGCGCGTTGGGGGCTGTGACTGAGTGGGGTGGCGGTTGGTGCATCACCACCGTCTTCTGCGCGTTAATGACCAGACCGGAGTTCTCGCAGGCGGTGGAGAACAGGTCCATGGTCCGTTGCATCTCCTCTTCCGAGGTAGTGTTCAGGGCGCAGTCGTCGGCGAAGAGGAGTTCGTGAACGGTGGTTGTGGATACGCGCGATTGGAAGTGCATCCGGCGTTGATTCAGCAGGTGACCGTCCGTCCTGTAGGCGATGCGATCTTTTCGACTTATCAGTCCATACATCGTGGTCTTCAAACAATGCGATGCCTGCTCTGACGAATCCTCTCAAAGAACTAGCGGGGCCATGCTGACGTACACGCTTTAAACCGCCTCCACTTCATTAAATGCCGGCCGTCCTCAGGAATCCACTCTGATCCCCGTGATTTCGAGCTCTCATCCCCCCCCCGATTATTTTCGCGGTTTTTAATGTCATCTCCTCATTCCGACCCCAAGCGATCTGTTGACGATCACGGGGGAATCCTTTGTATTTGCCATCTGCTGGTAATTTGGGTAGTCAGCAAATAGGTCACGCGGTCGCATCTTTTCTCCACGCATCGATGACCGCCTCAGCATTTAATGTTCCCTCTTCGGATGGACTCTCAGCGGGCTGTGACAGATCGCGCCTAAGGCTCCTCCTGTCTCGCAACATCGAGGCGGATGGTTTCGATTGGCGAAGCCTTTTTTTAATCCCATCTACACTACCATATGCAAACCAGTCCTGTCCGTCCTGCATATTTCTCTTTCATGAACTACAGTTTGTTTCTCTTAAAAGCTAATAAATTCATATTACCTTCGTCTTTTTCGAAAAAGTGTTTTTTTTCTGCGTGCTAACCGTCTTTATTAAGCATGAACCGAATGCTGTACAGAGTATGTGTGTTTAATCTAAAATTCAATTGAAAATCTATTTTGCATGCTCTGCTAGTACTCTAAGGGGTACATAGTGAAACATTATATACATATATATAATACATAGGCAGCTCGCTAAGACTGCAACAGGCCAGACGCAGACGGCTGTTTCACGGTCATTACCGATCATCAGTACGTCATAGGCCTTATGAAGTAAAGTATATAAGCATGTCAATTAGGCGTTTGACACTCACTGTTGTGGTTAGGATCTCACTCGATCCCATTCTGTCCGCCCGCCAGCTTGCTATGACGTATTGATGATCGGTAATGACCGTGAAATGGCTGCCTGCGTCTGGCCTGTTGCACTCTTAGCGAGCTGTCTATGTATTATATGTGGTACGTGTCCTATGACACAGCGTTCGTTGTCGCCAGTAGCAAGCTGGAGGGCAGACAGAATGGGATCGAATGAGATCCTAACCACAACAGTGAGTGTCAAACGCCTAATTGACATGCTTATATACCTTACTTCATAAGGCCTATGACGTAAAGATGATCGGTAATGACCGTGAAATGGCTGTCTGCGTCTGGCCTGCTGCACTCTTAGCGAGCTGCCTACGTATTATATGTGGTTTGTGTCCTATGACACAGCGTTCGTTGTCGCCAGTAGCAAGCTGGCGGGCGGACAGAATGAGATCAAGCGAGATCCTAACCACAACAGTGAGTGTCAGACGCCTAATTGATATATATATATATATATATATATATATTAAAGAGGAGGGACACATTAACCTGTTCATTGATCCCCAGTTTTCCATCCGTAGACCTTAGGCCTGGGATCAGCACCTGAGTTCCTTTAGTTCACCGTATATAAACATGTAGAATTTTGGGGTGTTCCAACAATTTCCAGTATGTTTTGGTCGAACTTCCTTCACTGCTTTGTAACCCCTTTTGTTACGTACTTTGCGTTGCTTCTTCAGGCCAGTGCGTCTCACAAGCATCCATTGCAAAATGATGTGAAAGGAAATTTATCCGGAGCTAATGGGAAATCTTGAAGAAGACAACTTTTTGAGTATGCATCAGGACGGGTTAAGAAAGGATTGAACCTTTCTCTTTAGGCTGCTCATATCCATGGAGAGGTGGATGAAATCTGCTGAAATACGTTTATCGGTAGAGGCTATCTAATCATCTTTAAAGACTTTTGATAGTGTTCCGCACAGGTCACTCATATTATATCACGTAAAGCAAGCGCGAATGGGAACCGGCCGAAGTGGTTGGGTGACTTCCTCACAGGCAGATATCAGCCTGTTTGTATTGATAACGACCAATTTGAATGTGTAACCGTTTACAGTGGCGCTCCGAAGGAGAGAGTTTAGGGTTTCATGAACCTTTGTCCAGACAACCTGAACTGGGACAACCTAATGTTTGCGATCTCAAGTTTTGAAAACCAATAAACTGCCGGATAATGCGCTCCATTTGAATAGTTTGCAACGATGCCGCGATTTGTGGTTCCTTTACTCCAACTCTGAGGAATGCGGATTTATTCGATTACGTTCTTACGAAAGCAGGACGATATGATTTAAATACCGCTTCTTAATCGAAAATTACCAACTGGAATAAGTTAACGAGCTAATGGACTTTGGCCGTGGATGACGTCCACTCTCAAATCATCATCTCACCAAGGTAGCAGGACAGGCCACAACCATCCTGGGCCCGGTCAAGCGGTGCTTTCTCAATTTTGTCAAGGAGCGTTTCAGTTGGATATTTGGAACATTTCTCCTGTCAGTGTTAGAATATTATATTCTGGCGTGGCGCCCCTCGACGAAACAAGATTTTTTTCTCTTTTGGAGGACTGACCACGAAGAGCAATAAGGCCGGTCGGTGGATGAAGGTGCTTACCTTATGAAAGACGGTTGAAAAGTTAAAAATACTTCTTTCCTCTTATTTACAATATAAAGGGGATATGATCATGACCTTTAGAGTAATTCGAAGGCTAGAGTGTGCTCATCAGTATGCGGGCTTTCTTGAACTGGCACAAACTACTAATCTTTAGAGCCGCCAATTCCAATGCAAGACAAAGTGTGCCGAACTTGAAGTGCGGGCAAAATTTCACTTTTGTTTGACCGTTGAAGAATGGAAGAAGATGCGGGATTCGGTTAGTCTGGCGGAAACTTTTGAGAGCTTCCAAAGAAGATCAGGCAAGACGTATGTTTGATGCTTACATACGTACTCGATATCAATGGCTGACATGACCGCTTTAAATACATGTTTGTTTTTCATCCGTTGGTCTGTAGATAGGATTTTCGAAGACTCTGCATATCTTGTATATACCTAATTAAAAGATAACTTCGCGCGATACTTCTGCGTTCCTCCTCGGTCTGGACATTTTTTGCAAATGAGCGCATAATGTAGGTCAGGGGGATACTCTTGGCCTATTAAGTTTGGAATGACATCTTCTATCCCGTAGTGCATCGATAATTCATTTACCTACTTTTCGGATGCGCGCCGTTTCTGTGGGCAGTGGAATATATATTAATTTTTTCAAACACATTTATCAAGCGCCTCCTTCTGCATCAGTTTTGGAAGAATTGCCGTCCTTGCCGCGCACATCACTTTAACAAACATATCTTTTCGCTAATTTGAACGTGCAATCATTGGAAGAGTACATGCATTGGCCTGAGTTTTAGGCCTTGTACAGGAGGCCATCATCAGAGACTATTAGGATGCAGCGCCAAATGAGCAGCTCCTTAAGTCGAACAAAGAGAAAGTAGGGGTGGAAGGAGCGGTGCTCGCGATAAGGCCGAGTCCACACCGTCTCATGGCGTCGTGATGGCGTGCGTCCTTGGGTGAGAATTGGGTCGCATTTGATGGTCGCGAGAACGAAGCGCGTGACAGCGAGGGGGGTGTATCGGCTTGTCTGTTGGTAAGTCAAGTGCCGGACGCCCAAACCGTCAGAAGTTCTCGTCCAGTTTAATAGCTGGCTCACGCAGTTATCCGCGTGCTTGTGAAGTTGAACTCGCGGTCTTACTCAAGTGTTTGAGGATCGAACTAAATCAGTTGTTCGCCTGTCTGGATTGCCCGTTTTTGCTCCATTATTCGTGAACTAGGTCGTCGTTTGGCCTGCCCTGTATAATAACAAGGGCAGCCACGGTGTGGGGTCCGGCTAACGACACCAAATAGCTCTCCTGCATCTAGTCGATTGCTGCTTCACATGATTTTTTGTACGTTTAGTGACTGTCGGACGATGAGCGACGTCCGCTCCGAGCTCTAAAGAGATGCGCTTCGTTCCTTCTAACACGTTCTTTATATACGCTAAAGGGTCCTATAATGTTTTCATCCGTTTGTTCCACTGGGTGCATACAAATGCGCCGGTTATGGAAGTGGTGTGGATCTTCATTTTTGTCCATTTGTCTCGAAGACGCCGTAGTTCCCACACTCGTCACTTCAGTTCGTTGCAGTACGTCTTCACCCTTTGGAAGAGTGCTCTAACACAGCCCCTTTTATGCGTCATCGGGTGGTTGTCACGGTAGTTGAGCACGTGAATTGAATTCGCCACCTTTCTATACATTTTGGTGCGAGTTCTCCGTTGGCTTGGGTGAAAAGAGGACATAAAGGAAGGCTATTATTCGGCATTCTCGTCTGCCCTTGTGAAGTGAATATCGAGGAAGATGCTGTTAAGCAGGTCTTGAAAGTCTGCAAGTTTAATCCTTTCAGATATAACGAACGCGTCTGCGTACCGGTGCCAAAACGCGGGTTCATAGTGGACGAAGGCGACTTTTTCCAGGTCTCGTAGGATTAGTTTCGCAATCAGGCTGGATATCGGGGAACCCATCGGCGTTCCTTTGATCAGCTTGTATGTTCTGCCACTAAAGGCGAAAGAGGCTTGTTGGCAACAGTGAAGGGTTTGCGGTAAGTGGTCGGCCTTTATAGGTCTCCCCGTCTCCTCGTCTTTCCCTTTGAGCGGTTTGCGAAGAATGTCGTGTGCCACCCTACCCCTTTTTGTTTGATAACTGTTCACTTGGCGTCGCATTCTCACAGTCTCTGATAATGGAACCCCGTACGAGACCGGAAGCTCAGGCTAATAAATGTACTGTCCCAGTGATCGCGCATTCATCTTCTTTGAAACAGATTCCCAAGTCTCGCACGGTCGATTCTACTCGTGAACTTAGCTTTTTGTTCGGAGATCAGTTATAGACGCGTGAGACATGTGCCTGTTATTTGTGAATTTCCATCCACGGAAAGAAATGCAGTTGGAGTGCTTTCGCAACGCTGTACTTGTGCATAAAGGTGTGGTAGGATTTGGACCTCAAATTCTCATGTGCCGCGAAAACCCTACGTACACAGATCTCGCAGTAGCAGGAGCTACGATAATTATTTTCAGAATTTCGCAACTTAAATCTGGCTTTAAAAGCACGGACTCAGTTGCTGGGACAAACATATCTGCGGCCATTGTACCGAACGAAATCGTCTACGTTGCTTTTGCTGTAGACACGCAAACTTCTCCCTATAACTGACTTCCTATGACTGACTTTTAAAAAAACATCTAAGAATCATAAAAAGCAAGGAAATGTACCGAACAGCGGAGGTACTTCTTCGGCGTGATTATTCGACAGTCCGACCGACGCCACCGGTGATACCATCTGCGCGACACACGGCATAACGGTCGCAGGGACCACGACTTGCGCGTGAACTATTGTCTAATAATAGTAGACTAACGTTACATCTGCTGTGCGCTCTTTTTCTTCTTCATAAAACCTAGACCAAATGTCAGAACAGGGTCAAGACAATTTGAGGTTGGGAGCAGGCGAAGGTGAGTGACTCGGCGCGATACTGCGCCTAGATGTGCAATAATACGTCCATATTGTGATTTGCGCAGTCACGTAATGCGCAACGTAACTGATTTACCTCTCCTGTCGATTCAGTGCAACACCTGTATAGACCGTTTATATTCAAAAGGGTCTGGCGTTACCACTAAAAAGCCCGTGCTGATCAGAATCAAGTCGAGAGAAAAATAGCTTAATTAATCAAAATGTCGACCGATTTCGCTGTTTTTAGACGGCGCTTTATTGTTTTATATACCCATTAACTACCTTAATTAAGAACCACTCAGGCGTTCGATGTTTAAAACTTAGCGCGTTTAAATTTTCCGATATTTGGCAACATCTTTTAATTTACTCCTCATCCAATCAAGTATAAAACTAGATGGAGGTGTGTATGTAGACCGCGACATCGATTTTCAACCAGTTTGTGTGTGCAACTTCTCTAAAATTATTTCGGTCAAGACAACTGCACCTTTTTAAAATTTTAAACCCCACCTATTTCTCGCACGCGTTAATCACGCTCCTGACATAATTCTTTTAATAGCGTTTGACCGCTAGCTACACACGTTGCTCTCCAAAATCCTGGCCCGTTGTCGTTGCCGAACAACGAAAAGGCTGAAATCCTCCTTAGCCGAAGGGTTCCGTCTTTATACTGTCGCAATTTGCATAGTGCTTCTTAGACATTTGTAGTCCGTCAACAGACATTTGCTAATTATCATTAATGATCGGGTCTCCGTCTTTATAGCCCCACCCTTCCGGAATTTCGGACATCTGTAGAAGACCACAGTTTCATCACTTTCAGGGATAGTCTCAGGGTCTTGTGACCGACAGTGTTAGTGTTTGCACGTTGTGAAACACGAACAACAGTCTCCTTGACTTCTTAAAGTGCCTGTCCAAATATATTACTTATCTCTGATCCGTGGATGATTATTGTTTTTTTCTAGGAATTTGGACGGGTGAAGAACTCATGCCAAGCTGAGACAAAGCTAGGAAGGGATTAGGGCAGAACAGCTAGTAGAGCGATGAACAGGGGCGGTCGAGGCGGCGCGACAAAAATAATGATCCTCAAAACGAGGATAACAATGGGACAGCAAGAAACAAATGGAGACGGGACTTGAAAGTGCAGAAAAATATGAGCGAAAGCGAGCAAATACCAGTGCATGAGGTAGCCGTGAGCAAACGATCTTAAATTAACTCCACTGGGACATGAACATACAAAAAACCAGGAAGGCGACAATTGCCACTGTCAACTGGCAGCCTTTCATTAAAACTTCATACTGAGGGCAACACCCATTTTTGCACGATTTTGTGTCTTATTGGGCCATTTCGGTTTGCTCGAGAAATAAAGCCTCTTCAGTCAGCTAGCATGTAGTGGCCAAGACAAACCCCCAAGATGTCGAATTCTTGAAGTTAATAACATGCTTCTACAAAGTCAGCTGAGCTTTGCACCCACTCACGGCCTGAGGAGTTTTGGGGATGTCCCGAATACATGATGTTTGACTACACACGAAAAACAAAATTAATCTACGTAACCTATTAAAGTCAGTCCTTTACCGTCTGTTCTTTGACGTGGAGGTATTAAGTCTTTCCAGTTTTTCGTCCAGGTGTCGTTTACAAATCAGTCAGTATCAGCATCCGATATCCAACCGAACAAACTGTATCCAATCTATGACTGCTTTGTTAAGCGCGATGTTGACGGTGTCAACAAGCAAAGAACCATTTGTTTACCCCAGCTCAACACTGTAAACACCAATGTCGTGACTTGGAAGGTTGTTAGTTGATACGACGGCCTGCTCCTTCCCAGGGACGGGCTTTAGGTTGCAGTAGTTCCCTGTTAATGTGACCTTTATGTGGTTCCCATCTGTGAAGTAGAGGTAGACGGACCGTTTAGATTTTTCAGCCACTGTGCCCGTGTCCATCTCCGGTGGACGTAGGTGGCGCACGTAGAAGAGCTGGTCAGCCCTGTCAGTTACTGCATCCACGCCCATCGCTGATCATTCTCACTTTGCCTTCCTAACGAGAACGCGGTAGGTGAGAGGGGAGAGGCAAGTTCAGTGAGAGTTTGCCATACTACAAACAAGTGCTCACGCAGGTCACGACTGCTCTCACGTCCTTACTGATGGATTTCGCTGCTCGCGACGACATATTGGTGATTACGGCGTCAACGGTCTCACCTAGATTCCACTGTAAAGCCTTCTGGTCATAATTTCCGCACAGATGAGGAGGGTTCTCTATTGAAGGCACACTGCCCTGATCTTATAAATTTGTCAGTCAAGGTAATGGTACAAAGTTTCAGGGTGACTTCCTTTATGATTTTTCACTACAATGGCGAGGCCAGGTAAGGTAGGCTACCACTAGCCACCTAGAAACCTTTAGTAGAGGAGTGTGTAGAGCCCGCATCCAGCTACTTGGAAAGAAGCAGTTTTAAGGCTAACGTTAAATTAGCAGTTCAGGCCGTACCTAAAATTGGGCTATGGATTTTTACGGCCTCCGAATGCGAGCAGCCCATCCGTAGGGTCCAGTAAATTTGAGCTGCAGTAGATCACTCCTGGCATCTGTTTGTTTCGGTTATATATTTTCTGTCCGGAAAACATCCTGGAAGTAAAAACCGATGCACACGTTCTGTTGTCTCTATGGAAAGTTTTAGCCAATTTATCAGTGAAGGGGTAGGTGGCCTCGTCGTTTTCCTTATAGGTGCCACTGACTTCCGAATGCCTTCATGAGCTGGTTGTTTTTCCCGTTAATGAATTTTTTCGGTCTAGTTCTGATTTGATTTCCCCGTCTACTCTTCTAGTGCATCCGGTTCTGCCGTATTGTAGTGCATACCCTATTTCTCATTCTCGCTTTCTTATGAAAGTTGTCCACGTCTTCTCTCTGGAATACAATGCATTACACTGCTCGCTTTTACACAATCCACGAGCAGCAACTTTTTGGTCGTCGAAT